CTGGACATCTCCAGTAAGTGGAATCATACTACTTATATGTGGTCTTACGTATCTAACTTCTTTCACTTAAGGTTTTCAGGGTTCATTCATTTCACAGAATGTCTTGCTGTTTCATAAACATGTCTTATTTTAATGGCTGCTTTCCATAGTTTGGATGTTGAATTTCTCTCCATAGTTCCATGTGTTAAAACACAGGTATGCAAGCCAGGCATGAAGCACACCTATAATCCCAGCATTTAGGAGGCTGAGGCAGGAGGATCACCACAAGTTCAAGGCCAGCCTAGGCTACATAGTGAGTTCAAGGCCAGTATGAACTATATAGCAAGACCTTGTCTCAAAAAAATGAAAAGATAGAACCTGGGATTTACCTCAGTGGTTCTGGTGCCTGCTTTGCAAGCACGAGGTCCCGAGTTCAATCCCTGGTACCAAAACAAAACAAAAATACAGGCTTCCAACCTTTTGGCTTTCCTAGACCACACTGAGTAAAAAAGAATTATCTTGAGCTGCATATAAAACATATAATATAGTTATTGTATTTAACAACAAACTTCCTTCATTTTTATATTTTAATTTATTAAATTACTTTACAAAGTAACACAAGCCCAAGTTTCAATAATTAAATAAGAACACTTCCATATCTGCTTAAAATCAAAAACCACCTGTCTTCCCAGGCACACACAAATACAGGTAGGTTGAAACACTATTATTGGCAATTACTGCATTTTACTTGCCAAGTTGCACAACTGCACATAACATCTGATTGATGTACACAGATATCAATTCAACTGTCTGTGATGGATGCAAGAGAAGGCATTAGCCCTACCCTGTTTAGTGTTCTGTTTTGGCCTATACAGTCCACACTAGCACACCTGCAATTTAATAATGGAAAATATAGCTAAAAATCACAAAATAATAGTTTGTTTTGTACAGTCTTATGAGCCACATTACTCACTGTTCAGGGCTGCATGCAACCCATGCCTTGGGTTGGAGGGCTTGTGCTAAAGGCTTGGTCTCCAGTATAGCACAATCGGGACCTGGTAGAAACTTTGAAAGGCAGGGCCTTATGGGTTGTCCTAGGTAACTGGAGTCATGCTTTTAAAAGGCATTGTGAGACCCCACCATCTTGTCTTTTTCTCTCTCTTTTCGCTTCCTGGCCATGCAGTGAATGTTCTCAGTCATGCATTCTTGTCATTGCCACGTAGCTCGGCCACCACATACCCAAAGCAATGGATCTGCTTGATCTTGGACTGGAATCCCCAAAGCCTTGAGCCAAAATAAATATTTTTGCTTTACAAGGTAATTATCTCAGATATTTCATTATAGTAATGTGAAGCTAACTAACACATGGGCCCATATGGCAATCAATTTAGTTTTCGTAAAATAGCATTCTGTTTTGGCATTCACATTAAATTTGTTATGCAATATTTAATTAAATTACAAAATTACAGTATCAGGTACAACTGGCATAAACAGGACTGTGACCAAACACCACAGTAAATGTGCACCTGAGCTAGAAAGAACAAAGTATAACAATTTATTGTATGATAGCTATTGCTACAGTGATCTCTGTGCTCTGAGCAAGAATCAGTATGTATTCCAGAGGGGAATGAGAATGAGTTACTTTATATTTTTAGCTATATTTTCCAATGAGGTGAATGAGTTACTTTAGTGTTGGTCAGTACTCCTCTACATCAATACTGAAGGGTCCAGAAGTGATTAACTGCCTGTTATACAACACAACACAACCTCAACAGGACCCTAAAAGGAAATCTTCTGTTTTCAAAAAGAAGCAAGTAGGGAAGGGGATGTAGTTCAGTGGTGGAGTGCTTGGCTAACATGCACAACAACTTGGGTTTGATCCCCAGTATCTCAAAAGAGAAAAAGAAAGAAGAGGAGAAGGAGAAAGAAGAGGAGAAGAAGTTTCTTTTATATCAGGATGCAAGCTACTTCTGTATCTTTATATCCCCTATTGCCACCAGCACAGGAAAAGAGGGGCTCAGAGTACAGCCTTTACACAAATCATGAAAAAGAAGTTCAATAAATATTTATTAAATCAATAAATTAATGAGTATAGTGTATTAATTAATGACCTGTAACTTTCTACTTGGCTAGAGGAACTCACCCCATCATCAATGTACAGTAAAAGGAAGAGAGATATAAATCTAGTGGGGCAAAGTGGTTACTGAATGAGGAAAAGAATCAACTGTTACTCTGGGTACCTAGCAGCCTTCAGAAACAGTGACTCTTCCCAAATGTTGAACAGGGATCACATTTAAATAGGACACTTAGATAGCAACACTTTCTGATGTCCTTTGATGTCAAACAAATTAAAAACAGAGACCAGATCTTTGTGCTTGAAATCCCCCTGTATCTTCAACTGTGGACATGGTTTTTCTCAATTAAGTTATACCACTTTAATGGATGAGTTTTTAGATATACTAAAAATGTACTCCTAAGAAAACAACTTCCAATTTGGTAATTTTTAAAAGCAAAGCAATTGGTTAGGAGAATGTATAAAAACAAACAAACAAAGAAACAGGCAGTGAACATTTTTTGGCTGTATACAACCAAAAAAGTGCCAAGTTCATTTTGATAAGTCTTTGTTAAAAACAACAAACATGCCTGAACTTGCAAACATACTGTTTTGAGGAAAATGTGACTGAGAGAATTAGAGAATGCTTAAAACTGGATTTTCTGATTTAAAAGAAGAACTACCATGGTGACAGGTGTACTAATAAGTCACAACTCTGTGCAGCCTATGATTATGGAGAAGAGTGGCGGGAAATGTAAAGTGAGATAATATAGAAACAGTATGCTATCTTCATAAATAAATAAAAGCAAGCTACATCACACAACCTAACACAATTACAGGCCCAACATTAACACTTTTGAGAAAACTAATTCTTCTATGCTTTATTAAGTTTAAAGTCACCACAATGAGGTTGCTGCAATAAAGGAAGTGGATTCCAAATGAACATACTTTAAACAAAGGTAGGAACTATTATTCATACACCATAGAAGGTTCATGAAAGTTAAAGCAACTTCGCCTGAGTATTTTGTTTGTTTTCGATGATTATAAGAGCAACAAACTTATGGAATCAGAAGTAAGACAGACTGGAACTTTTGTGTTCATTTCCCTTCATTAGGCAAAACTGACATTCTCTTCTATCTGCCCGACAAAGTCCCGGAAAATTATTCTCAGGAATAATTGCAACTGGAGCTCTACAGGATCAAAGTTCTTTGTTTTGTTCATTGACATATCCAAAATCCCCAGCAAACCCTAGGCAAGGCACTCAATAAATATATATTAAATTTAATTAAATGTAAGAAATATGCAATGCTGAGTCAGTTTTAATTGCAAGTCGTGTCTTCTATTATCAGTTATAATGTTAAACACAACAAACAATCCTTCAATAGGGCACTTTTTTCAAGCCAGGTCTAGCGCCGTACATCGTGCCTTTAACCCTAATCTGTCATCACCATGGAGAACACAGAATTAGAAGAAACTCCAAAGGCAGATGTGGGTGGATATACTCTTTGTTTTGATTGAGTACTTTTTTAAAACCTGGAATGTATCTGCATACATCTTAATATAAGAAAAAATTTAAATATTACTCAAAAATAAGGATTGCTAATTTTTAATTATACTACAAAGGCAGTTTGACTAAATCTACCTATCTCATCCATTTCAGAACCTTCTCAGTTAAAAAATGATAAGTAAAAAACAAAGACAAGAAAGTTATGTGATGAGGTGACTCTGGTCATGCCATTTTTGTTCAGAATGCCTGGAGGCAATAGGCCGTGCACATTGACTTGTGTGGGAATGAGAAGACGGGATACCTGGGTTGGCGCCGTTCCCTGTTAATAGCTTTGCAGCCCTCGAGGACTCAGATCAGGGGTTCCTGGGCTGTAAAATGAAGAGTCTGGATCTAGTGGATGAGAGCTCTGAGATCCTTTTGATGTCTAAGATCCTGTGATTGTAAGTGATTGAGTGCAGTCATTCAGTACTCCTCCATTCTTCCTCTCTCCAACAGACACAGGTTGGGCACTGGCACATTGGGAGGGACCGACACTCTTAGCTGTGGTCCTGCGTGACTTTGGCCACAAGACACATTATGCAGGGGGGCAGTTGACAATTTTCAAAACCAGGCAGCTTGGATACCTGTAGAGACTGTTTCTGAATTTGGCAGGCCTGAAGATTTTCCTTCTGGGCCAAGCTGGCGGGGCCTCTGGAATGGCCAGCTCTCAACCAAGAATCACTTAGAGGGAACTAATTAGAGACCCGTTAGTGTATGATTTGGAATGCTGAGTTGTGAGTCTGCACTAAAGTTTTCACTGCTTTTCCTAGTGGCAAGACGTAATAGTGATATTCAATTTAATCCAGAAAAAACTGTGAGGGCTAGAGTGTTTTTACTAGATCACACTAGGGAAATAAATATTTCTATCATTAAAAATGCATTTAACACAAGAGAATCCAGGAAAAATCTGGAAACTTGCATTTGGTAACCTCAGCAGCCAGAGATGAGAACAGCTCCCTCTCTTACCACCTGCCCCCAAAACTCACTGGAGCGAGCATAACAGAGTGGACAGCAGTCTCTCCCTAACCGAACAAGCTTGGCGAGCGACCCTGGTGAGGGTCCGGGATCGGGCGGGGACTGGACCCAGGGAGGGAGAATGCAGCGTCCCGGACCTACGCCAGCTTCAAGACCAGCTCTAAACCCGGTCTGGCCTCAAAGGATGCCCGCGTCCTCCGAGCCACCGCTCCCTCGGCTCAACGAGTTGGAGAGCGAGTTGGAGAGCGGGAAGAGGGTGAGCCATGAGGAGTTTCCCAGCCCGGGCTCTGGCGATCCGCACGCCGGATTCGCCCGCGAGAGTGCGCCCGGGAAGCTCGATGGGACCAGGCTCCTCGCTCGCGGCCGGCACAGAGCGCGCAGACCACCCGGAGCCCCGCGCGAGGCCTCGTCCCGCGCCCCCAGCCCGGCTCAACCCCGCCGTCTCACCTCGCTGGGACCGCTGCAGCCCTGGTGGTGGTGGTGGCGCGCAGACATGTCCCCGGGCGCACCCGCAGAGCCGCGTCCCTGCGCAGGGCCCCTCCTCTGGCCCCAGGCGCGGCGGTCCGCGCTTCCGAGGGGCGGGGAGCCGACTGGGGGAGGCGCCGGAGGGGCTGGGCCGGGGCCCCCGGGAAGCGCCGGGGAAGGAGAGCGTCGAGGGGCAACTCCAGCTGCACGTCCCCGAAAGGCCCTGGCTAGCTCAGTCCCGCCAGTTCCGCAGGGGACGCTGCCCGGCCTGCCAAGGGGGTTTACTATGGGATCCGCTCTGCTGCTGGGGCTTGGCCTGGGTGGGGGGTCCGGGGAGGCGGACGCCTCTCGGTTATGTAACCGCGGCCGGCTGTGCTCTGAGCCAGAGCGCTCAGGGACTTCTGGACTCTTCCCGGGAGCAGCCTGCGCACTCCTGACCTGAGCAAGCAGAGGGGCTCTGGTATTCTCAAGAAGAACTTTTCTCCACAGGTCAAAAAGCAAGACCTCTAGAAGTAATACGAAGACTCTTTCAGGTGTATCTGTCAGGGAAGGTACCTGCCAACCAAGTCCTAACTATTTCACAGCACAGGAAACTGGAGTGCTGGACTGTTCCTTAAAAGCGACAGATGGACCTGGGTTCTGCTTATAACTTTGAGCAAGCCTCGGTTTCTTCATATGTAAGATAAACGGCGATAATTATTATTAATAACATTGCACCCACTTCACTTGATTGCTGCGAGAACAGAGAGAGCCAGATGCAGGTGCCCCTTACATAACAACCCCAGTAAATTTAGATCTGAGGCCTAGAGGGAGCCCTAGAGGCGGGCCTGCAGGTACCCAGCAAAGCAGGTTCCAGGCTACCTTTCTGCAGAGCGCTCCCCTCGACAGAAGTAAGACCTCCGAACTCTAAAGCTTCAATTCTAGCTTCTTGGAGTCTACACACTTGCTACTCCAAGAGGTCCACAAACCAGCAGCACATGGAAACCCATTAAAAACGTGAATCTCAGGCCCCATCACAGAATCTCTAAATCAGGAGGCACACTTCAGAATCTCTGGTGATTCTGATGTACATCAAGTTTCTAAAATTAAACTTTTGTAAACCTTGAGAAGGGGAATAGGAAGTCGCTGATCAGTAGTAGGCAAGATTTGCCACTTAGGATATTTTAAAAACTGACTAGTAAAGTCCTTTTTCATTTTACCCTCTGGCTATTTTGTCTCTTTCCTTCCCCTCACTTTTCTGTCTTTTAACTATAAATCTGAATTTAAGTTTCAAAAACTCTAGGTTAAATCAAAGTGCTGATTAGTGAATATATGTTTAAAATACACAAAAGAAGAAACAAGTCAGGCACGATGGTGGACACCTGAATTCCCAGCATTTAGGAGGCTGAGGCAAAATGATAGCCAGGAGTTCAAGGCCAGCAGAGGCTACATAGTGAGTTCAAACCCAGCCAAATTACCTAGTGAGACCCTGTCTCAAACAAACACACAATAGAGCTTATGAAAGAATTCATTAGCATTGAAAATGAACCTATAAATGTAGGAGCAGGAGTGAGCCCTGAACTCTTGGCTGTCAAGGGCTTTAGATTCAAGACTTGAATGCCTTTGTGTTTCAGAAAAAACACTTCTCTCAGTTATATATTGCTTTTCAGTGGCAAATACATTCCATTTTCCATTTAAATAATATAGGACAACCAATTCTTTTAAGAAGTTTTGGAGAATAGAAAAGACTCCAGGCCTCCTTCTAAGTCGTCACTTACAGGGCCTCTAACAAAGCCCAAAGCAAATATTTTGTTCTGTTAAGTGCTGTGTCTGTTGTTTTATTCTGAGAGTGTTCTCAGTTCCTTTGCCTGATTCTAGCTCTGGCAGAAGGAGTTCATCCTTTACAAATCCAGTAATTGTTGGTTGATGTTGATGACTGTTGTAGTCAGGGTTTGCTAGGGAATAGATTTAATACTGGACACATAATTTACAGGATTATTTTATAATATTCACCCAAAAAGTCAAATGCAGAGGAGTGCAAGAGATCTGTCCACACACAGAGACCTGAAGAACCCAGGGGAGGGCCTGGATCCCATGACAGTATCCTTCATAAGTCCAGCTAAAGTCTAAGAGCCCAAGGCAGTGTCCTCCATGAGTCCAGCCAGAGGCCTAGAGCCCACAGCAATGTCTCATTCAAGTCATGCAAGCACTGGGAAGGCCCAAAGACCAGTGGTGGAAGCTAGAAAATCTGCGCCAGTTGGGTGAAGCATCTGTGCCAACAGCCTGAGGGATCTGCACTGGAGCCAGGAAGCGATGCTCAAGATAAAGACCAGCGCTCCCCTGAAGACAACAGCAGCCATCCCCAGTAACAGCAAGGACCTGAGCACCGATGACACAAGTTCGCATCAGGAAAACCACCTGCAGCAAACCTTCCCAGGAAAATCAACAGCCTACAATCTTACCTTCCAGTTCTCTTTTTGTGCCATCAGCAACAATTCTCAGGTGGGTCTTCCATGCCCAGAACCCCCCCTGACCTAGTTCAGCTGGGTGTTCCAAGTTGACCATTAGTTAATCCTCCACAATGACAGTAAGTGTGATGGGCCTATGCAGAGCCCCACTAGGTCACACATGGGGCTCTCTATTCAAGGCTGTGCAGGGCAGTGTGAAGGGAAGTGGACCCGGGAAAGAGTCTCTTTTCTCTTAGGTTGGAGGAGTGGAGGAGCAGGGGGAGGAGAAAGTCCTTCTGCTCATGTTCTGTGGAAGAAGAAAAGCAAAGATGCAATTCTAGAATCCAGCCAGGGAGGAAAGGGAAGATGCAGCATTTCCTCTGAACAGCATTGTCTAACGCAGCTTTCTATAACTATAGAAATGTTCTGCATTTGCACAGTCAATCCAACAGAGCTCTGAAATATGGCTATTTATATTTACATTTTAATTAGGTAATTAATTATGAGTAAATTCAGTTTGCTTGCACTGCTTGTGTTTTAGCTATAATCTGTTTCACTATCCATATTTCAAGTGCTCCATACCAGCATATTTCTAGCCCTAAAATACTGGGTATGGCATAAGATATTTCCTTCATCATAGCAAGTTCAATATGTACCAAAACCCAGGATTTGGGGTGAGGAGGTGAGCCCAGATATGGAGTTTTTCCAAGACCTAGTCATCTCTTCAAAGGCAGTAGAATATTAAACCCACATTTCTGAGTTGGGTTCAAAATGAAAGTATCCATGACTGTGCTTAATGCAATGTCTTGTACATAGGAAAACGTCTTAACATAATTATTCCACATTAGTGTTTAATAGTCTTTTTTACATTAAAAAACGTTAAGCATGACAAGGATTCTTTGCTAGGCCAAACTTTAGTTCTGAAGACTCTTTGAGTCATCTGTGTACTTCCTTAACAAAAGCTAGTTTTAGCAAAAAGTGTGGCTAAGTCAGTTTAGCAAGAACCTCTCCTCCTCATACCTGATCACACTTAATATCTAACAAGGATCCTCACCTTCCACCCAAGTTGTTATGTCTGACCATTCTGACCTGTCTTCAGCAAGAATCCTGTTAAGCTGTATCCAGAATCTCCCTTAACCTTGATGTTTCCTCTTGGAAATTTTCTGTCCTTGTCCCTCACTATGCTCCCTGGCTATAAATTCCCATTTGCCCATGCTACAGAGTTGAACCCCATCTCTCTCCATTACTATAAGAATACAATGCAGTATTCCTTTACCTTTCAGTGCTCCTGAATAAAGTCTTTCGTACTATGATTTAACAAGTGTCATTGAATATTTTTTTAGAGGGAGACATGCTACTATAGCTCCATCATTATTAGCTAAATGATCTTTTGCCAGCATGGTCAGTTGATCTAGTACCTTAACTGCCCTTGACAACTATGTTCTCCCTTCCTATTGCTGCCCACAGTTGAGCACTACCTGTAATATTTTGGCCCAGAGGCACAGCATATTAAGTCAAGCCCCACCATTTGTAGCCAATAAATAAGTACATTAACTAAAATCATATTGTACCATGGTTCAGTGGAATTAACTTTCAGATGAGATTCTGAGAAGCTTGACACCTTAGGGTACATTCATTATGGAAGGAATTGTTTGTTTTTATTATTTGGTCAAACAAGGATGTGTGGACTCAGCAGAGAGAAATGAGAACATTGGCTCTAGATAAGGAAAATTTAAGCTGTTAGCATAAGAAAGGAAGCTACAAGAAGGCTGGAGGTTGCTAGTGGAAACTTTAGGTTTTTACCTAAATGTAATTTGAAATTTTATTTTCAAAGCTAAAAAATAGTTTAAGGATAACTAAAAACAGATAAATAAGATATAGGTATTCTATGCTATCAGCTATGAAGATTAAGGCAAGCAAGGGAAATAAGCAAGAATCCTGTTAAGTTGTATCTGGAATTTCCCTTAACCCTGAAGTTTCTTCTTGGAAATTTACTGTCCAAGGAAATAAGGAAAGGCAAATAGTGAAAATCTTATCCAAAACTGTGAAACAGATTTCTGAATAATTGTCTTCTCAAACTCCCACTTATCTGACTTCTTTAATAACCTCATGACCTTGACCACCTTTCAGTCCTATTTTCTTTATAGTTGTCTTGATTCTTCTTCACTTATTTGCTTTGCAAGCATTTTTTTAATATTCAACCTCTACTACTGCTCTTCTTCCTTAGCGCATATTTCAGTTCCCCCTCTCATGGTTGTGGCTAACACCTGCTGTCAGCAGCATTACATTTCCAGTTCTGACCTCCCTCTGAACTCCAATACTTGTCTGCAGATATCCAGTGGACTTTTCCTACGGCCATCACTTCAAATTTTAAAATACTAGGAATCACAAGGCATGCATCTTTAACTCAGGCAGAAGGATGCAAGTTCAAGGCTAGGCAGGGCACCTTAGCAAAAATTCTGTCTCAAAATAAAAATAAAAAGGGGTTAGGGATGTAACTCAGTGCTCCTTGGGTTCAATAACCAAAACTACAAAAAATGAACTAAATTTATCACTAGAACTTGTTCCTAGCTCTTCAACAGCTCTCAAGTTTCTTATTTCAAACATCACTGGTTGGTCTCTAGTGTTAAAATTCTGTTTGTGATGATTTGAAGTCATGGAACTAATTCAGTCCATTTATCTTCTTTCTAGAATTATGGTATAATTGAAAGATGTTGAATTTGGAGCCAGAGGATCAAAGTAAAAATCCATTTCTACTATTTTTGGCAGTCTGAACTTAAGGAATTTTTTAACTATCTTAACACTCAGGTTCCTCATCTATAAAATGAGGTTATCAGTACCATTTGAAAAACACAAATTGAGCAGCGACTTCTCATAACCTCTATGCTAATTAAGCTAGACTTTCAAACTCTGCACTAATAAAATTTTGGACTTACTAAGTG